TCTTTTCCCTATTCTCCTATTCTAAACGATCTTCGAAGAAGGGAAAATGTATTTCGGGGAAAAAGTAGGTATTGCGAATGTCAAAAAGGAGGAGAATTGATTTCGTTATTCTGGGAGAATTTTCACCGGTATATTAAAAGGGAACTGATACAAAAATGTAAGTAATTACAATTTAAAGGAAATTTGGTGTAATAAAACGTTTAAACCTTTCATTTTAGGTCCAAGACAACAAATAAGAAACAGGTAGAAATCTTAATAAGCCTAATGGAAGCTAGTTTATTTTGGTTTATTACATGAAAACCCGCGATTGAAATCAATATGTTTCAACTCACATGTGTAGTTAAAATACCAAATTAGCAAAATAGCACTAAATTTCCGGAGCACTAGTTTATTAATAATGCGGCTTCCAAAATTCACAGTGGCAACTGGACCTAACAAAGGTATTTTTTTTTGTATTTGCACACTTATTTTGGTTTATTACTTGAAAACGCGCGATTGAAATCAAAATATTTCAACTCACATGTGTAGTTAAAAGACTAAATTTTAATTTAGCACTAATACTTAAATTTCCGGAGCACTAGTTTATTAATAAATTGGCTTCTAAAATTCACAGTGGCAACTGGACTTAGCAAAGGGTACTCTTATCCTATTTGCCCGCTTATTTCGGGTTATTACAAGAAAACGCGTGATCTAAATTAAAATCTTTCAACTTATCCGTGTAGTTAAAAGATTGAGCTTTAATTTAAAACACAGATTTGAAATTTCCGCGCACTAATTTATTAACAGCTTTAATCTGAAATACTCTTTTATGTGAACACACACTTTTATGTGTAAAACACGCAAATTAAATGGCGGGAGTTGAGCTGTCAAAATATCTGTCAAACAGCTCTTCGAAAGTTCGAATTTCCTGCTCCCAAATTTTCTGGCAGTTTTGAATAGGAGGATTTTATTCTCGAGAAAAGTGAAATCCGCGAGAAATTAAATCCTCGGGAATATTCAGAATTGGGCTGAAAATATTTGGTAGAGATGATCGATGGTCCTACTAAACTATGGATATTTTTGATAGTATAAGAAAAAACTAGCAATAGGTTCTTTCCCTAACAATCCGGACCGGATCCGGTAATTAGAGAATAAGCGAAAAGTTTGCTCTCAAAAATGGAACATAATCCAGAAGTACGGGAACGCAAAAAACCACATTTCGTGCCCAGAATTTGTGAAACAGCTAGTGATGTGCTAAATTTTCGGTAGCCAATACTCGGTACTCAATACTTAAAAAAGATTTCCAGCCTTATTATGTATCTCGAGCGATAGGCCGCACGAACGATTCGTCTGTAGGCGATATCGTCACGGATTGCAATTTTGTAACTCTGTCGTTCGTCTTCGTCTTGTCTTTACGTCGATTACGTTGCAATCGTCTCGGTTACGTTGTATGATGTTGCCGGATGAAATTTTGATGTACTTCCAAAGGGTTTTTCTTAGATTTCTAATATCTTCAGCTTATTTCAATGCTTTTTATTTTAAATGGGCAACATCGGAATTGTTTACATTTTGGTTTTGCTTAAAAGTGTTTTGGTTGTGTTGCGGAACGAAATATAAGGAAAATTGATTTTTAAAAATGTATGCTGCTATAGCGCTAATGGACGCCGAGGAATCCGAAGAAAGGGAAAGGCGGATACAGAGGAGGAGATTGCGAGACCACACCAATGTAATGGAACTACCTGCGACTGAGTAAGTTCAAGATTAGCAAATAATTTTTGTATGCTACAATGTATTCTTTTCTAGATTTGTTGCAAATTTCCGAATCAATAAAGAAATATTCCAATACATATTAAATGAATTAAAAGAGCACATGGCTCCATCACATAGAAGCACCCACTTATCGCACCAGCTAAAACTCGCGACTTTTTTAAGATTTCTCGCCACCGGCAGTTACCAAAAATCTGTTGGTAACGAAAATATTTCGTCGATGGGGCAGTCAACTGCAGCCAACGTGATCAGGGAATGCCTAAATATTTTTGAGGACCATTTTTGCCAGAAATGGGTGAATTTTAGGAGAAACATCGATGAGGAAATTGAGAAATACAGAATACCTGGGGTTATTGGTTGTGTTGATGGATACGAAGTGTGGTATTAAGTCGCCAGGAAGTGACAACCACCATTTATACCTCAACCGCAAGGGTTTTTACAGTCTTAATGTAATGGCGGTAGGTTAATGATTGTGTATATATATATACACAAACTCAGTTTCCTTACAGATATGCGATCACAACATGGTAATCACATTTGTTGACGCTAGGCATCCAGGGGCGAATCATGATTCATTTGTTTGGAATGTGAGTCACGCAGAACAGGAGCTAAAATCTGATTATAACAATGGAAAAACCAACACATGGCTACTCGGTAAGTTTTAAAACTTA